CTCACCCCACCGGCCCTTGCACCCTCGCGGTTCTTCTCCTGCCACGCTGACGTGGAGCAGATGCTGCTAGAGGCCCAGCTGGAGACGGAGAGCAGTGACAGGTGAGTCCCAAGGAGGAGCCTGGGCACCTGGAGTCCTGACCGGCCAGGGTGGGCAGGTGTCAGGGGGCTGAGGGGCGGTGAAGGCTTGGTGACCGAAGGGGTTATGTTTGCAGTGCCCTGGTTGCACTGGGCTCCCCGGCCTGGGATGATGATGGAGCCAGACAGGCAAGCGAGCAGCCTGGGGAGAGTGAGCTGCTCCCTCCCCGCAGCCAGCCCCAGCTGGGCTGCCCCCACCCCTGGCAGGTAAGGGAGCCAGCCCCCCGTGCTGCGCTGCGCCCCACTGGCCATGCCCCTGGCCTCACTTGCCCTATGCCTCCTTCTAGCAGGACGTGCCAGAGGAAGCGAGCGGAAGGGAGCGGCACCTGCCAGCATCCCTCAGCTGGGCCTGTGCCCGCCGCCCTCAGCATCTGTCTCCAAAGTAAGGCCCATGTCCCCCACCAGCATGTCCTGCTGTCCCCTACCCTTGCTGTCTGCCTCGCCACCCCCATCCTGCTGTCCCTGTGCCCTCCTGCTGTGCTCTGCCTGCTTCCTTCGTGCCCCCTTTAACCATGCACTTTTCCCAGGGAGTTTGCCTTTGTGTGCTCCCCCCAGCCGGTGCTGTGGAGCCTGCAGGGAGGTGCAGTGGGGAGAAAGAAGAGACTTTTCAGTTCAGAGCTGCTGCTGCTCTTCATTCCCTCGCTGCTGCTTAGCCACGTGCTGACCCTGGGACTGGGGTGAGTTTCTGATGGGGTTGACCTGTGCTGTTGAGTGGCTTCGGCCAGAACTGACCCCTGCGCTGCTGGGCATCTGTGCAGCCTGGGGCTGTCCGGGGGCCTCTGGCTGCCCTGGCCCAGGGGCTGTCCCCATGGGAAATGGAGGAATGCTGCTGGAGTTGGACTGTTCATCCTTGGGTGCTGTCCTACACCGCTTCTCCCAGCAGCCACAGTCATCTCTGTGGCAGGTGCCTTACAGTTGCTCTCTCCAATCTAGGATCTACATTGGGAAGCGGCTGGCAGCCTCCTCAGCAAACCCGCTGTGAAGAGCTGGGCTCAGCGAGAGATGGGTGGCTCCACCGCCCTGCTCCTCCACTCAGCGTGTGGAGGGAGCCCAGGCACCAGCGTGGCCCAACTGCTCCCAGACTTCGTGTCTGTGGCACGAGGCGCCATCTCCCCTTGTCATTTCTTTAGCCCCAGCCTAGGGAGCTGATCCTACCCTCCCATGTAGACAGGAACCAACTGATGGCAGCCCTCTGCTGCAGGCAGCCCCTGCCCTCCCCATCCCTTGGTTACGGGTCCAGGTTCCTCCTCTTTAACACAAGACTGTAAATATGACTCCTGAGCCTGCAATACCACATGCAAATAAACAGCCCTGTGCCAGCCTGGGAGGCAGAGCAGCGTGCTGGCAGTCACTGTGCCAGACCTGGCACAGCCTGTGCAGGGGAGGGTGAGCGTGCTCCCCAGCGGCATCGGGTTCCCATGGGCTTTCCCTGCTGCAGGAGGGTGAGTCCCCGTTCTTTGGGGTGCTAGGGCACAGTGCCAGGGTGGTGCTTGGCCATGGAAAGGCCCCTGGTTGGGCTGTGTATGGGCAGGGCTGAGCGCTGGGGCTCATACAGGGTTTTCAGCCCCATCACAGTGTGCCCGGCTGATGCATTAGTCCTTTATTAGTCAGCCGTGGCCTGCTGCAGCAGGGAGGCAGGGGCTGGAGCCCAGCGTGGCTGGCTGAGGCAGCAGCACCAGCCTGGCACAGGCAGGGCTGCAAAGCCAGATACCGGCAGGAGAACTGGCACTGCAAAGCACAACACTGCCCGGGCCCACTCGCAGACCTGGCTGGCTGCCGTGCAGTCACAGTGCCCAGGCTAGAAGCATTTGTCCTGGTACTGCAGGATGGGGTGGGTGTCCGAGGGACAGGAGCTGCCCCTGGGGTGGAAAGCAGGAGGGGAGGCGAGAGCTCAGCACGTGCTTGTGGGGAGCTTGCTTGTCGCCCTGCACCTGGGGTGGTCCATTGGCAGTTCACAGTGGAGGGAGGAAAGTCCTCTTTGGCACAGTGTGGTCACGCCGCTGGAGGGGCTGCATGGGGCTGCTGCTCAGCGCAGCTCTGTGTGGGAGAGACGTCCTGGCACAGGCTTTGCCTTGGCAGGAAGGCAAGCACGATCTGAGGGCTGATGCAGAGCACTGGGGCAGGGGAGTGTCCAGGGGCAGGTGGGTCCCAGCCCTGGGGGACACCTGGAGGGTGGCAATAGCCAGACCTGGTTGGACAAAGGATGGTGGTGCCCTGTGCTGCCCTGGGTAGCAGGGCGCACAGGGAGTCCTGTGGCCATGCGGGATGCTTGTAGCGTGAATACTGCAAGAATGGTGGGCAAGGGGTGGTCCAGCAGATGAGGATCAAGCAGGGCTGTTTCATCCAGCAACCAGCTGCGAGCAGGGGCACCGCAGGCTTTTCCATCCCCATAGGCAGGGGTGGCTGCGAGTGGACAGTGCAGCTGCAGGCGGGCACCGGGTCAGAGCTGTGACACTCGCTTGGACTTCGGTGGCGGAGGAGGTGGTGACTTCAGCCCTTTATTTCCATCCGCTGTCGGCGATGGGGATGCCTGCAAGCAGAGAGGGCAGTTACCGAGAGCAGGGGGTGGCGGGAGCCGGGGGCCTGGGCCGGGTGGTACCTTCCCTCCGGTTGCGGCATCGCTTTGCTCCAGGAATGTCTCGTACACCATGGGGCTGATCTTGCGGGGCAGCGGCGGG